TTGCAGTCAATTTAAAAACTATTTCAGAAATAAAAGCTGTTGGTTTAAACTGGTGCTGATGAACTGAGCTGAATGGATGAGGGTGAGGACTGGAGCATCGTGCCTAATGTCTTAATTTTTTAACTTAGCAACAAAGGTTTCCTGAGATTGAGGTGAAGTCTTATAGGCACATATCCAGCTTAACTTTTTTTTCTTGCACTCCATACTAGAGCAGCTTTATATGATCCACAATTCAAAATAACCCTTATTTATTTCACCTTACGTCTGACTGGTCGTCTCTTTGTACACTCTCTAAGTGTGCTTGTTCATCACATTGACTGCAGCTCTCACGTGTCAGCAGTTCAATTTTCAATTCAGCTTTATTTATATAGCACCAAATCCAGCCCGTTCTCACTCCCGAGGCGTAACACACCGACGTTTTGTCACGTCCCGCGGCGTTCCTGAGGAACGCGAAAGGAGACCTTCGGCGTTCTTATGGTACGCGGCGGGTTATTGCCGAAAATCCAGTGCAATGACATTCCCGGTAATAGACGTTCCAGCCCTGTATTCCAGCCCTAAACCTAACCTTATCCCTAGCCCTAACCATAACCTTTTTCCTGACCTTAACCATGACTTTAATGATGTTAAATAGCGTGTTTCTAAGCGATTTGAAGAAAAAGAGCGAACATGTGTAGATTGAGTCCACATGGTCGTCATTTAGGAACGTGGTGGGTAGGCAAAAACGTAATATGTTGACGATTTGTCACCTAGCGTAAAATGTTACGGTTTGGGAGTGAGAACGTGTTGCCAAATCACAACAGTAATCACCTCAACGTACTTTATGCTGTAAGGTAAAGACCCTGCAATGATAGTATAGTTCACTAGTGTAATGCACTGTGGCTCCGATACGTCCAGCAGACTTGTGATTTGGTATAATGGGACCATCTGCCATGGAAGTGCTTCCTTGGCTAAAGAATGAGCAGAAACTGTGTGTGGAATGAACAAAATCTCCTCCCGCTGCCATTTTCTGACCTTAGACGAGGTTTCACTTCAGCAGCCAAACTGGCTGATCAGCCTTAATGGTTATTTATTGCACTGTGTCCCAACGAGATGTATTTATGTGAACTCTGTGCATCATGTTACTTGTGAAGATGATTATTCAGCTGGCCTGGTTTGGTCAAAGGACAAGATCGAGCATTTCATAGTCTCTCCTCGGTCTCTTGGCGGTATTAGAGCAGTCCATCAACTGCATTTCTTCAACAGGACCGCTGCTTTAGTTACCCCTTATTTCTTCATCCATTCATTTTTCCACAGTTTTACCATCATCAGTTCAGACCTTCAGAAGCCACTGTGTGCTTTGGGTCAGATCTGGAATGTGTCGGTAACAGTGCACCTTACCATGTGCGCTGCTTCAGACAGGAAGCAGGAGTGGATGACTTTGGTTTTAGGTTCTGTGATGCAGTGATGTCACTCTACAATAACAGCAAAGCCACGCTGTGATTTATGGACTGCAGACAGTCAAATGCATCTCATGGCGATTGAACATCAACACTAAGGTTCCACTTCCCTTCAGCTACTTGGCAGCAAGCTGTTCCCACAATTCTGGTTCTTGACTTTGAAAACGACCAAAGCCTGGGCCGCCTCGAGCTCTGGTTGAATGCTGCTGCAGTAATCTGTTGAAAACAATTTCAGGCAGCATCAATCAGCCCCAATATTAAAATCAGTAACAGGTGAAGAAAATAACTATAATTTCATTACAAGC